AAAGTTGCAACTTTGACGGCCGAGGTAACTTCGATATGACATATATAGAAATAAAAGGCAATTGCTAAGCAGTCATCTATTTTATTATTCTTGTTTACATGATGGATGAAGTCTTTTCTCTCGATATTCTTTATGCTGATGAATATGTTCCTGAACAGCTCTACCAACTTGTTCGAAATGGTTTATGTTCTCAATTAGATGCTCGATTACATGAACTTTCAAATTCCATCGAGTATTTGACAGCATTAACTTGGCATGGTCAAGAACAGTTCAGTTTATTAATGGTTGCAGCTCTCAATGGATATGATGACATTGTTCGCGTACTTTTAACTCATTGTAATTCAACACGTCAGATTGAATTAAGAGGACAAGTAATTCTTTATGATGCAAAGCTTGTCAAAGGTGTAACAGCACTTTATTGTGCATGTTATCGAGGACATTTTACTGTAGCCAAAACTCTAATAGAACTTGGTCAAGCTAATGTTAAACAGAACGCGCTTGATTATCCGGATTATCCACTTTTTACTCATGCTACGATAATGAATCGTCAAGATATAGTTCATTTTCTTTTGGAAAACAAATATACGGATGTGAATGAAACGAAATCCAATGATTGTAATGAATCTACTGCGTTGATATTGGCTGCATATCGAGGTTACACATCTCTCGTCAAATATTTAATAGAAAATGGTGCTGATGTTAATTATTCTGATCGGAATAAAACTCTTATAGGTTCAACAGCAGTCATGTGTGCCACGCTTTGTGGTCATTTAGATGTACTTCGACTACTCTATAATGCAGGTGCAAACATTAATATTAGACACAATACAGGAGATACTTTACTCATGACAGCTGTTAAAAACAAGTATTATTCAATCGTTAGTTTTCTACTCGAACAATCGATAAATGATACTGTAGACGATCTTGAATTTGCTGCTTGTTCTTTATTTGATATTTCATCTTCTATTGAACAAATGAATGTAGTATTCGATCTCTTAAGAGTTGCTCTTCAACAACGTCAATTATTACAAATACCAAAAATTTGCATACAACCAAAAGATATCTACGATTATCAGCAAGAATGTCAAACTATTGAGGAACTTGATCGTATCAAAGGTGATCGTAATCGAATTTTTATCGAAACATTACTTATTCGAGAACGTATCTATTCATCTCAAAAGAATATAACAATAATGCAACCATTAAATGATTATGGCGATCAACTCGCATACAAGAAAGAATTTGATAAATGTCTTAATGTATACATTTATATCTTCAATTCTTATCATCAAATGGACACGAATACCAATCTAGCACGATTTGTTTGGTTATTCTGTAAAATGCTTACTGAAAATCGAATAATATCCATTCATCGTTTTATACAAGTCTGCTATTTGACATTCGAATTACCAATAAGTAAATATATGGACATGACTATATGCAACGCACTTTTTCTTGTGATTATAATAACTAAAGTAATTATTTTTTGTGTTTGTATTTAGTTTATATATAATTTATTTAGATTCTTGAACAAAAAGAAATAACTAAAGAAGAACAAACATTGATTTATTCTTGGATAAGAGATTTATGTCGTCATCGACTGACTACTTTAGACGGAAAAACTCTACTTCATCTTTGTGTTGATACGAATACTAATTTTCGTCTCGATTTTCGTCCTAGAGATACAATTACTCACATAAAGTAAGTGTGAGATTTTCATGTTCCTAATAGATTTATGAAAAATTTTGTTTTTGTAGATTTCCGAATGAATTTGGACTTCGATTGTTATTGACTTGTGGAAATCGTTGGCTTGATTTAGATGCAATCGAATCTTCTTTTGGTAATACACCACTTCATATCATATGCGAAAGAAATAGAGATCAAAAGATCATTAAATTACTTTTGAATTTTGGAAGTCATATGGATTGTGTAAATAAAGATGGAAAAATTCCATTAGATTATGTAAACGATAAAGAGATCAAAGCTTTGTTTACAACAAAATCAACTCCAGATCGTCTCAAATGTTTATGTGCACGAATCATTGTTAATAAACGTTTGAAAATTGGTACTTCGAGTGCATTAACATCATCTTTGAAGAAATTTGTTTTCTTACATGATAGTTTACGCATTCAATATAATTTTAACTAAAAGAGAAATTTGACAATGGTCCATGCTCTATTATTATTCGTAAATTCTTTGATCAAATGGAATCTATTGCTTTACCTTCCGTTCAGCAGACAAATGACTGAAACTTGAGAAAGCAGTAATAGTAGAGTTTATTTTTTTATTTAAATAATGATTGAAGTGTCATCTTCGAGTTGGATTCGTGTAGTTTTACCAATTTGTTTTGTATATTTGTGTGCATTTTATATTTTTCTTTGTGCAACAAATTCTTTAATCTATTCAATCGTTTGTCTTCTTCATGCGAATGAATCATTTTGTTCTGAAATTGATTACAATAAATTACTTCCTCTATCACAAGTAACTATTCCAAAAGAAAGTTCCCAATGATACCCTTTATAGAACATTATCTTTTGCAATAATCGCTTGTTTTATTTCGCCTATTTATAGAAGTTTATCAGATACAAAAAATTGAAAATTATCTATCAGAGACTGTCATAGGGTAGTTTTTTTTGCCCTGCCCTGAGGGCAGGGGAGGGCGTCTAAGCTAAGTAAGCCTAGTATAAGATCTAAAATCTTCATAAAAATTAGTTGATTGTTTTCGAATTTTATACTTGTACTTTGTATTATTTCGAAAGTGCCACAATCAAAGTTATTATGTAAGTAAACACCATCATGTACCAGAAAGTACTGTTGTACAAGCTTTAGAAATCATATCATTTTAATGGACTT